GCAGTGTCAAGTCTGAAGCCCGTCAGGGTTTTCATCGGTCGGAATAGTTTGCCTTATTTCATAAATCCATCTTTTTTAATGGTACGCCTATAGGCAGTGTATCAGAGGCTCTTTTGAATAAATGGTGAGCCAAGTTGATTATAACCGATTGGCAAATGAATTTTGCCTAGACCACGAATGATTTCTTTTATCAAAGAGTAGGAGTAGGAGTAACGCAAATTATTCTTGAACTTCCAACAGCTTCCAACAGCACACCTCATGGTACATCCTGATGACAGTCGATTACACGTATCCGTCACTGTCCGTTGCATGTACCGGTTTATCTTTTCATTAGTTAATGGCTTGTAATTCACGATTCACACACTCTCTCTCCCTCAGTTTACCGTTTAAAACGGTGCCAAGCGGACCTACGTATCTTTATTGTATCAACGAACACACGCGTACTTCTATACCCTATGTCCTGACAGCCACAGTTCTACCCATGTACATATCAACTTATTTCAGCCCAGGGGATTGTATTCCCACAGTTTGGTAAAACCTTGGATTTGAACTGATCAGTGAATGCAAGATAGATATTCTATTTTCCTCCGAGAAGATTTTGTCCCGTTCAGATGCGGAAAACACGCCTTTCACTTGTTCTTCTTCTGAAGCTCACAACTTCATTGGTAATTACACTACAGAAACTGCTCGGGACAAAATGCTTTAATTTACCAAACTGCTTTGCAGACAATGATTCCGATTTCCACTGTCCAAATCTGAGGTTGTTAATAACAAATATTTGTTCCAGATTACAGCTACCGGTTCATCTGCAAATCGCTAGTGAGTGGTGCATCCGGTAGTACCACATTTCAAGGGACAAAACTAGCAAACCACGTCCTAATCAGTCACTTACGCTGGTACGCCTTGCGCGACGCAAATCCTCTTCCGCAAACATTCTCGGTCGACGAAGACGAACATTTTGCATCTTGTACAGCAAGTCATCCGCGTCCACTGATCCTTGAACTCCATTAGTTGAGCTCAGTCTATGCGATTCAGTATCGGTTCTCGGTGAGTTACGTCTAGCCCCGGAGTAAGTCGGGGACGCACAAACCATGATATCTAAACTGGGAACAGTTTTGGTTTTCGTGATCCACGGATGACGCAATGCCTCACTGGGACTCATTCGATCCTCGGGCCACCAGAGGAGACAGCGACTGATAAAATCTAGCATATCCGGATCCACTGGCTCAACATGACTAAAACCTGTCCGTGATTGACGACGTGAGCGTTTCTCCCCGCCGGGTACACAAACAGACGAGTACTTGGGTGAGGTTAGTGCGGTAAGTAGATCAAGTGAGCCAGGTGGTTGACGAGGTCGCCAATTGCGCGAACGTTGCATCATTTTCGAACGACCCTTTGAGGACAGATTATTCGACTCAGCCGACTGTCCTCGTCCGTTCTTAATCCCATTGGACAATCCGTGTGAATCACCGTTCAATTTCGCTTCAGAACGCTCACGCTGTTCTTGTAGCTCTTGTTCCTGTTCGTACAAATAACGTGGTTCACCGGTGCACAGGAAAAACTTGTATGCTGCCTTCGAGGCAGACAGCATACGAGCGGGTGGAGTGCCAAGTAATTCCATGATCAGTGCTAACTGATCATCCGCGTCTTCTCCGGGAAACAGAGGAGCTCCTAATGAGAGACAGAAGATCACAAAAGGATTTACTAAAGCTGAAAATATTGGTTGATGAAAAGATAGCAAATCAAGTTATGTTTAGATCAGTTTGACTGCAATTATTTTCCGGAGCTGGGATAAGTAAGTTTCGATTTTCCCAGTCACACTTTTGGATCACCGTCATGCATCAACCCGGCTATTCAATCGGTCGATCAATGAGCGAGGAGTAACTAGCACCATAAAAACGCTGAGAGGGGCTGTCAAACAGACCAGTCAATTGTAAGGAGCATCATATAATGTGTTTGGAATGTGCATAAGAATAGCAACAGTGCAGCCCGGAGCTCACATGATCCTTTCACGACGTGAAAACTTCCGTTTTCTTCAAAACCACAATTGTCGTTTGGAATGTTGACTGAATTAGTTGTTGGTGGCACTCAGATCAATTCCTTCTCCTGTGTGAATAATTCGATTCAATGATTGCGAAGAGTGAACGGGTCGATAAATCACCGGGTTGTCGAAACTTAATCATTTTACAGTGACTGAACTTCACTGTGCCTTCGTTTCAATCACGTATGTGGTCTTCAAGTATTAGAATTTCTCACATTGCGCAGTTCATCATGGGACTATTCAAATACTAGGTTGGCTCTCCTCACCGGATGCATACAGATCCATGGATGATGTGACTAATTCACGCAGATTACCGCAATCAACACAAGTTTCAAGTTTTCATTAGCTGCAATTGTTTGTCGCTTGTTCTCCAACTTAGTTTTAGACCACAGTTCAATTATCAAGCTCTGACTAAACTCAATGAGTCATATGCGATTGAAAAGCAGTAAATCGAAATGGTAGTTTTTCCAGATGAGTAAGGATGAAATTGACAGGCAGGCCAACCTAATCAGTGCGTTTTTCAATAAGTTTTAAAGTGTTACATGCGTATAGGAGTGTATGGACTAGTCACAACGAGAAAAATAACAATCTTTGATGACCACGTTTGTTCCCTTTAATAAACCGCTTTGAAGTCAATTAACAAGCCTGCATTAAACAAAACATTTGTGAGAAAAACTCTACCAAGGGGAAGAGGATTTGATTACTCTAAGGGGGAGGAAAAATTGTTTCTTTTCTTACTGTGGATCATCCAAACATTTGCATTGATTCAAAGTGAATAGCATGATTTTGTTTTAAATTGCAAAAACGAACAACATATAGCGCTACACAATTGCTACTATCAGAAGAAAACACCGTACCAAGTTAACATATCAAATGAATATTTAATTACGGTTTTCTTCCTCAATCTACTTTCCAAGACAAATGCGTCCGTAGAGTCGTGTACAGAGCTCAACTCACGAAAGGTTACTAAGATGCCGGAATCGGTGAGCTATTACTTGTGCTCAGGCACAGCTTGACAAATCACCAGTTCTTCTTCTCCTCATGCTTTTCGTGTTGAAACCAAAAA